TATTAATATTACGGTATAAATTGTTGTTAAGTAGAACTGTGTCTAAATGTTTTTTTTTGTTTTCGTATTTGTGAACGATATTTATGAAAAATCACTTTTATATCCCAAAAAAATCAACAGTCTCATTAGATATAAGTGATGATAGATAGAACTCATTAGATAAAATGTGCCCTCGATAATTTAAACTTCAAAAGACTCTTGTCAAACTGGTGAGAAATAAATAAAAATAGGTAGGAAATACCATTCAAATACTTCCAAATAAAACTCTCCTAAAAAATCCATCCACAACATACCATTGAAAACCACAAAGACATCGAATCATTGTATCTAAGAAGATCACACCACTACTAATCGAAGTCCGAGGTCCATCAAACGAGTTTGATCTCAAACGACATATGACACAACCGAATATAATAATTAATTCGATCACACAAATTAACGTAAAATCAAGGAGATGCTATAAATGTTCTGATCACTACTAATGATTTTGGTATTCAACACGTGATGTGATGACGTCACTAATATTCCCACATAGGTAATAAGCTGGCATTGTGTAATATTTAAGACTTTATTCTGTGCTATGAACGTACGAATTTTGCATCCAAAATGTCTTAATGAGAATGCTGGTTGATAGATTGTATTTCTTAGGGAACCTTCACTGGACCTAAACATAATACATTCTATATCAGTATCGTCAAATTATAAATTTTTACGAGATTTTGCATGTTTTTGATAATGTCATACTCATCGTAGCATAAAGTGTGAGAGAGCCATGCCCATGCTTCGGCACGAATGGATCAGGTTGACCGGCGTGCAACAACTACAACGTTGTGTTTCGTAATCTGAGTAAAATTTCCATTATTACTAGAATCTTCAAATCCCTAAATCGGATAAGACCGGTGACGCACTTGCAACTCCCTTGATATTGTAGATGTCAATTTGTGAAAACTTACCATGAAGTAAAGCGCCTGTTTGCAGCCCCATCTCATATAAAATCACAACCCTTTTTTTTAAAAAAACGTTGCCCCACCTTAGGATTTTCTCCTGTGTCGTGGGTGCGTTTACAAACATACAATTTCACATGCACATCACACCCAGACCCGGAACAACAATCTGTGGATCACACAAAGAGTTGTTCCGTGCGGGAATCGAACCCACGACACGTTGCGCGGCAGCCAGTTGCCCAGCCACCGCGCCAACCGTGCAGTCAAAATGAAACCACATAAAAGGGCACATAAATATTGACTATTCAGTTGTTTCATAGGTCCCAACTAATAGCAGGTTGGGTTTTGTAATTCTTCAAATTCTATTATATTGATTAAATTTTTTCTTAAAACCAAAGAGTTTAAATTGCTTTGCTCAAGTTTAAAGGCGATCCAGTGACCCTTAGCACAGCAATTACACTTGTGACCATTCGAACGACAAACCAGAACTCAAAACACATCTTGACATAAACAGTAAACTGCAGTCCAGCAGCAAATCTCATAGTATAAAACTTTGTATGCATCGCATAAACAACCGAATTTGACTCGATTTCAGTCGTATGTCTCGATTCAACCGCTCGATGAATGCTAATCGAATGATCTGGGATTTTTGGAGTCAGTGGAATGTTTGACTTTACATGAATCAAAGATTTGTTTGACAAACTCTGAGTTGAGGGACAAAGACCTCTACCACAAAGGTAATACGGATTAGATTTCTAACCTTGACTGGTTGAGATCCAAGGCTACATATACGTTAAATTATTTCTACTACAATATTCAAAACAATGTCTGGTGTTCGAAATAGCTGTATTAGGTATGCATCGTTATGTATAGTGAACAAATTAACCTGCTATCGCCATATGCATACATATATTCTTCTCCTAACTTTTTCGACAAGTCCAAACACCCCATCATTTGCACCAACTTGCACGTCAATGTATGAATTCTAACAAATATTAAATTTTAAACAGTATCATCAGCTTGATTAGAACAAGAACCTATCATCTTCATCTTGTTGAAGTGAGGGCTTTAGGGAGAAAAATAAGACACAAAAGATAAAAATAAAGTAAAAATATATCATAGTACTAGCGACCCGCCCTGGCTTGGCACAGGTGCAATACTGATAATTATTTTTCCTACTATTCAATGGATGTTAGGTATTACAAATTTAAAACCTCCTTTTCAATCATTCTATCCATAAAAAATTGCACCAAAATTAGTTGTACAAAGCACGCGACGTACTTTTATACTATGTTGTAGTTATACAGGGAATCCAACTAAACAATCGCTTACAGACACAAGGCAAAACCAATCATTGTAAATAAGTATTGTAACCTAATATCATACATCAATATACTTCCTACATGTCGGCAAATAACATATCATTCAAAACAAATGATACCTTTCAACACATGTCTAATGATCAGACAAAATGAACTTCTAATTGATTAATTATGAACTGGATAATTAGTAGCGATCCTTGAACTATGTGTTCCTACAACAAAATATAATATAATACAATATATAATATAAACATTTCTGCGTCCGTTTTGTATTGTCCGTTCGTCAGGGTTGTAAAGATAGTTAATATTGTTTTTTTTTGGTTCGTCTAGTAAGTCGCAAATAATGGTGAATCGCTGGTCGATTCCTAAGACAGAACAATTGTTATTTAGATTCTCCAAATTATACTCAATACAAACTATAGCTGATAGACATATAACTGTCTCTTTTTTTACTGGGAAATATCATCAAATGAATCTCTTGCCCAGGGTATGGCGGGAGGCATTGTCGGACTCATATTAACTACAAACTTCTCCCGCGACTCTGGGTAAGCATTGGCTATTTGGGGCCCCATCTGTGGTGGTATATTGGCTCTTTGAGGCGCGCTCGAAACGCTACGCGCCACACACTCGGGTTCTTAGACAGATCCGCGCTTACGGTGGCTCTATGACAGACCTCCATTATTTAGGTTGCATAACATTTAGGTATCTGGTCATTAAAATACTCGACTTCAAAACCAATCGTTTGTCTGTAGGTATGTTCGACAGGCCTAATCTCCAATCAAGCTCAGTTACAAACAGAACAAGACTAATTACTTTGATGCAAAAACATAATTGAGTTATATTGCCTATGTATTTTGTAATTAAGACGGTTAAACCGGCTGTCAGTTAGTATCTGATTGTATTTATGATATATTGTCAGGTCACTTTGGTTTAGGGTCGTCGACCTGAAGAGCTTAAAGAGATGAGTTCGGATTTTTTTATCTGGGCACCTTATGTTAAAGGAACTTTATACAATTCTCAATAATATTTAGTCGATTCAATTGTACCTAAGTCTATTAATACTGGATATCCATGGAGTTTCTTGCTCGTTCTTCTCCATAGGAATCTACACTTTGGAACGAGCAAATAGCTTCACTAGAGGACAGACGGATAGACTGACACGCTTAATTTTAAAGCTCTTGATATATTTTTTTCCTTTTCTGCTTGACGTTCAAAAGTGCCTACTGTGGTCTAATTGAAATAAATGATTTTGACTTTTGACTTTTTGACTTTCACTGCTATTTGCGTTTTGGACTTTAAATGTATCCGTAGTATATTATGTAGTCGTAAGTCCGTCCGATATACGTAGGTATATCAAAATAGTAATGTATTTATGTATGTCGTGTCAAAAAAGGTAAGAAACGAAAATAAGGCAAATTGTACCGACCGTGAGTAGATTGGAATAAGACCAGAAAAGAAAAATCGAAAAAAGAAAGTACCTTACCTGAATAAATTTCATCATAGCATGGTATCAAAATTACTCGTAAACATCATATGAGAAATGAATAAATAAAAAAAATATTAATACAAATGTATAGGTAATTTAGAATAAATTACTTTCGTCAGATTATTACCAATAATAAACGACATACTAAAAGTAGCTTTAGCACAAAAAGTCTAACCAATATCACGAAATTCAGCCTAGTCTTCAACTAACGCCATCTATCGCCAGAGCGTCGAACTATCTGTCAAACATCAAGACTCAAATGCAAAGTAAAAGTGAAACCTTCTAGTGGTTTCCAAATAGTACCGTTACTTGAGTAGTGGCGCCACGGTTCTCTGCGTACGCGCATTCATTCATACGCGAACGTTTCATGTAGCGAAAAAAGTATATTTAAGTACATTATTCCTGAAATAAATTTTCAGGAATAATGTAAACACTGTTCACGGAAATTTTCCAAGATAGAAAAAAAAGTGTTCTAGTCTATATAGATATAGAATTCTGTATAACGGTTTAAGAAAGCCTCGTAAGAATGGTTGTTTCTATTATGTTAGACACTGACAAGTGAATATCATAGAATTTTCTAAGCAGTTACTTCTTACATTACTAAGTAACGGTTGAAAGAACTTTATTACATCTGATTGTTTCATTATAAGACGTAGCGAAGTGAATTTTATAGTGTTTTCCCAGCAGTTTGATTTTAATGCAGACCTAGAAAGACACTAAACCACTAGGTATAAATATCAATTGGATAGCGAAAGCAAAAAATCAAATCAAAGATTAAATTGGAACAAGTAACTTTTAAAAATCAAAAAAAAAGATATCTAGCTAAAAAGTCTCAGTCTGTCGGTTAGTCTTCCAGTGTAGTGTAACAACTTGCTTGTTAGAAAGTATAGGGTTCTCAATGATTACTCAGTTCCAGTAAGTTTCCCATTCAATTTATCAAATTCTTTGTTTGTTATATGAGAAACAGTCACAATAGCACTTGTTAGGTTTTGAACCCTCAAATATTAGAAGGCGTCCGGCGTACTAAGACTAGATAGGTTCATGTTTTTATTATAACTTTCGTGAAACATTCTAAATTATGTATTATGTTTTCGGCTTACTCACGCAGCGCGACAGTCGCCGAGTCGCGTGTCGCGGAATGCTGCTCATGAATATGGGCCTCTAGCATGGCTTGAAACTAGTCGAGTATTTCGTCAAATTATTACGTGAGTAAGGTTCATGTTTAGAAAAAAACAAAGCAACACGTACCTTTCCCGTTTCTTTCTCTTCGTCGTGCTGGTCCCTTTTATGGTTCTGTACAAGGTCATCATCTTGAACAGCTGTTGTTATCCAAACACTCACAATAACACTAAATACTTATACATCCACACTACAAGGCACTAATAAATTACACTAAATAACACTAAACAATAACATTATTTTTAAACAAAACATAAACGTTGTTTTCACTTCACGGGATGATTTCTGAAACAAAAGAAAAATTTATATTAAAGAAACTTGTATTTATACACATTAATTATTAAATAAAAACTCTTTTGTATTTTAAAAGGTTATGGTTGCAATACAGACTTTGTTTATCATATGCAAGAAATAATAGGAAAGCAACTTTTGGAAATTAGGGTTTTGGCAATTTAAGCGATGGGGAGGAAAAGTTTTGCACCTCCATTAACCTAACACTATGCTGTGGTTATACCACGCCCGCTTTCTGTGAGGCCGTGGTATGACTCCGGTAGAGTCGACCCATTTATGCCGAATCTTAAACACTGGGACTGTTAATCTTATTTTTCTTCCAAAACAGACCATTTGAAAATTAGTCTTAGACAATCATTTCGGGATTTCCTATTAGCTTTTGTCCCAAAGATACAAAATTTTTACGAAACATTTGCGCAAACACGATGTACCAATCAAACACACGCTGCTGAAAACATCATAGGTACATTACAATTTACAGTTTTTTTTAATTACAATATTTTGACGAAACTCAAAAGTTGCCTCAGTATTCTTATATCGATGGTAAAAACAGTAATTAAAAACTTAAAACCACTGCAAGCCGCAGTAATTGTGGCTTATTTAGATTTTATATGCAATGTTACAAAACCTATACAAGTGATATAGGCAGTTAAAGTACTTAATTTAGTTACAGACATAAATATTTAACGGTCAGTAGAAATGTTATCATTGACACAGATTTTCAAGTGTCGGAATTTTTGTGTTGATTGACGTTAAGGTAATAAGAATAATTTAATAATAAACTGTCTGTCTTTTCTTCACACCTAAACTTCTGAACCGATTTCTGTGAAATTAGGCATAGTTTATATGATCTGATATGTCTGTTTATAGAAAAAATACTAAACAATACGTTTTTTTAAAGCTTCCTTATTTTTCACTTCTGGGTAAGGCGAGAGGGAGTGTCTGACTCTTACTGACTAAAACCCCCGTTCCTTCTACTGCTCCAGGTCGAGGCCTTATCGTACTTACACCCGGAACCCCGGCTGTAATATTATATATCTCTTTATATTTAAATGTGGGAGAGCAAGGCTTCGGACGAATAGGTCGGCTCGACCGGAGTGATACCATGGTCTCACAGAATACCGGCGTAAAACAACCTACAGCGTTGTGTTTCGCCGTGTGAGTGAGGCTACCGGAGGCCCAATTCCTCCCCTTCCCTATCCCTTTCCGATCCTTATATCCGCAACCCCTATCCTCCAAAAGGCCGGCAACACACTCGTAACTCCTTTGGTGTTGCGGGTGTCCGTGGGCAGCGCCGATGGCTTACCATCAGGTAATCCGTCTGCTCGTTTGCCGACTTATACCATAAAAAAAATTGTATAAAGTGCCTCAAGTTGATATCCTCGTACCAACGTCCAATAATAAAACCGGATTATTTAAATTCATAAAAATCTCATTTAAATTCAAAGTCAAGATCAACAATTTTCGCGAAAGTCATTCTATAACTATAAAATATCACGAAAAGAAAGTTATTCAATTACTTTTCAAATGTCGAAGATTTTAGTGAACATAAAGTTCAAAATTGCTCGTATAAATCATTAAATTTATTTTCATTTTATTTAAATGGTTATGTTCTATCATATCAATTCCTTATAAGGAACTTGGGTGCGGTTTTAAGTCTGGGAACTGATTTTGATAAAAAATAGAATCTTTCTCTAAGCCTTTGTATTAATAATACCTAATTTATGAGACAAAGTAGATACGATATTTTTTTGTCTTTTTGTAGTTTTATGTTGTACTGTAATAAATATGCATTCAAATAATTTACTTCTTATGTAGTGTGTACTTTATGGGCCTGTACTTATGATCTTATGTACTCATGGGCAGACCTATGAGTAGTGTAGGTTTTTTTTTTGTGAGGGGAAAATCAGCAAATGACTTCTCCCGCCCAGGGCCGGGCAGGAGGGCGTGTCAGACTCTTACTGACTAAAAACCCCCCTGTTCCTTCTCCTGCTCTGTGCGGAGGTCGCGGTACCTCATTGCACTTACCCTGCAACCCCGGCTGAACATCAGCCCTTTAGGGCCCCGTATGTGGTGGTCGAATGGCTATGAGTAGTGTAGGTAAGTAATTATAATAATGTGACACTTAATTAAAGACGACCGTCCAGCTAACACGTCTCTTATTTGCGCCTACATTGCACTTATATAAAAGACACAGCATTCCACACACACACAGAGTTTTTGGTTAACAACAGGGTCGAATACTTTCGGGACCTTCGAGACCTGAAAAATTTAACTTAGACATTACACCAAACGTTTTTGTGATAAGGAAACGTTTATTTTAGCCATCGAGGAAGGATTTTTTTTTATGAAATAGGACGCAAACGAGCTGAAAGATTAGTGCCGGCCCTGGACGCCTGCTACCCAAGAGGAGTCAGACGCTTTGCCTGCTTTTTTCAAATCAAATCGATTATTTGTATGTGAAAAGGACTTTTACTTTCAAAAAGAAATATTCACTTTTTTTGAAGGTTTGGAGGTCGTATCAGTTCGGGAATGCCGCCGCCGAAATATCATTTCAAACATTCAAATTTTTCGGATTCATCTAGTTTTTACCCATATAAATTGACGAGTAAAAGTGCCGAGTTGCAAAAATAAATTCATTGTTTCATTGTTTCATTATGACTGCACGGTTGGTGCGGTGGCTGGGCAACTGGCTACCGTGCAACGTGTCGCGGGTTCGATTCCCGCACGGAACAACTCTTCGTGTGATCCACAAATTGTTGTTCCGGGTCTGGGTGTCATGGGTATATGAAAAAGTATGTTTGTAACCGCACCCACGACACAGGAGAAATTCCTAATGAGGGCAACGTTTCTTTTTTAAATAAATAATAAAAATAAAAATAAAATTATATATTATATTGGACCACATTATGTTATACTAGCTACTCTCGCGCGGTTTCACCCGCTGCTCAGCTCCATTAGATCGTAGCGTGATGTTTTATAGCCTATAGCAATCAGAAACATTGTGGCTACTTATCAGTGAAAGAATTTTGGCAATCCGACCAGCGCGGCAGCGGTTCCAAAGATTATCCCCTACATACAAACTTACAAATACCTCTTTATAATATTAGTATTGATAGGTACCTAAAAGTAATCCAATCCAAATCTCAACCGCAGGATGAAGATTGCATTATTTGCATTAGAATCTTCAGACCACATATATCAAGTAAGTACGTCATCTTAATAATGATAGGAATGCGTCAATACGGCGTACTCACTGACTGACTTCTGACTCGACCGGTTCTCTGACCTACTAACCCATTGCTATGTAATTTACATATCACGCACTAATATTAATTTGTGATACCTATGCGTAATGGGTGTTAAAACAACCTTTTACTTTCGTTTATGAATATGAAAATTGGTGTTTAAAGCTAAGAAATATTATCGTCAGGTTTGTTTTTTTTTTTTGAAAATCATCAAATGGGTTCTCTCTTGCCTAGGGCAAGGTAATAATATCTACAAGTATTTCAACTTCATAGAAACGGCCGAAACGCGAACTATACCTACGCGCCCGATGTCGGGACGCGCTCGGGACGCAGACAGACGCGGCTGTACCGCAGTGACGAACGGACGGTGTGTTGTCTTTTATTTAGAAATCAGCTCGAGTACATTATTTAATATGACGAATAGGAAATATTGTGTTGTTATTATGTTTGGTTGCATGAATTCGTATATTCATATATTTCATATTATTCAATAACGCATCCAGACATAAGTTTTTTTTAAATTACCTGGAAACTCTGAAAGGTAAGACTATAAAATAATTTTACTTAGACAAACATTATGTACTTACCTAGGCTCTAGTAGCCTAGTGTGTCTTTATGGATCATTATTTCCAGTTATCTCACGAAAACAGATGTTTGAATTTATAAATAATATGAATAAAGTTATTGAGACGAGTGAAATAGGTAGTTATAGGCGGTTCTGGTTCTGAATGAATCACGATACGTTAGGTACCTACCTACTTACGCTTGTGTTAAAACGGTTCATGTATGTTTTGTTAGTTTGTATAATTCAAAGTAGAGAGTGTGGTATTTTATTATTAATAATATTTGTTTATTATCTGCGTTTATGAATAAAACTAGAAAATATTTAATAACAACAATAAAACAGCTAGACTCATGTAATATTTTGATGTTTGAGGGTTGTGATTTTAGAACATTCGTAGTCTGTTCAGTTCGGCATTAGTGGCCAAAGAAATTTTGTTTGTTTATTTTTAAAGCATATTTGTTTATATAAAAAAAGGATATTTACAATCACAAAACTAAATGGAAACAGAAAGTAGACAAAGGTAATTAAAATACTGGAGACGAGCAGCCCTAACGCATGTTTACGTACCGCGCGGCTGTAGGTATTTATTTCTTTCAAGCGGCCGAGTTAAAATACTGTATGATATTTATACTGTGCCTAGGGTATGGCGAGAGGGTAGTGTCAGACTCTTACTGACTACTACAAACCCCCTGATCCTTCTCCTGCTCCAGGCCAACGCCGCAGTATTTTATTGGGTTTGACCAGCAACCCCGGCTAAACATCTGGCCTGTTGGGCCCTATCTTTTGTCCCATTCTTTTTTTAAACGTTTGCCCCACTTTAGGATTTTCTCCTGCGTTGTGGGTGCGTTTTCAAACATACAATGTCACATACACATGACACCCGTAGTTAGCGTAGTGGCTGGGCAACTGGCTGCTGTGCAATGTATCGCGAGTTCGATCCCCGCACGAAACAAAAATTTGTGAGATCCTCAAATTGTTGTTCCGGGTCTGGGTGTCAAGTGTATGTGAAATTGTATGTTTGTGACCAAACCCACGATACAGGAGAAATTCCTAATGTGGGGCAACGTGGTTTGAGTTTGTGAATTTCTATGTTTGTAAACG